TTTTGAAACATTAAATAAAATTGTGTTAAATTGTGAAGAAAGCAAAAGCTAAAATGATATTTAATAAAGTAACCATGGTTTGTAATGGCATAATTGTGCTTTTTTTTTTTTATAGTATGCCTATATGATTCCCTCTCTCACGTGGGTTAGACTTAAGCTTCATAGTTCAAAAAATGCCCCCACCCAAAAAAACAAAACCCCCAACAATATCTATGATTATCCGCACTTTGATGTCTCGGTATCGACTTTATTTTAAAAAGCATCGATCCAATTTGTAAGCACCTAATTTTTCCCTTTAACTAGGTCAGTTGCACATTCAATAGATTTTAGCAAATTAGATTCGCTATTGTTATATCATGCCAGTGAAAAGTAAATGATCGTAAATATAAGTTATGAATTGCGTCTTTCGAGGCTAAAAATTGCGCCCGCCTCTATAAAAAAAAAAAAAGGCAATCTTTAAAAATAAGGTTTTTCGTATAAATGCTTTTATGCATTATTTTTTTTTATAGAAAATATTAAATTGCTAAGTTGCTTCACAAGGAAGATATAAAAGTAAATGATCGTAAATATAAGTTATGAATTGCGTTTTTCGAGGCTAAAAATTGCGCCCGCCTCTATAAAAAAAAAAAAAAGGCAATCTTTAAAAATAAGGTTTTTCGTATAAATGCTTTTATGCATTATTTTTTTTTATAGAAAATATTAAATTGCTAAGTTGCTTCACAAGGAAGATAATCAAATGAGCATAGAAAACCATCAAGGCTAGTTTGACGTTTTCTTTCATGAGATCAACATGGGGCCCTACCAACATGGAGCACGACCTAACACCATGAAAACATGACGTCACTACTCAAACAAGCCATGCGGTGTACAAAAAAAAAAATGCGTAATTAACATTCAGTATTTGGTCGTTTTCCAATATTTTTGTTATCGTTGATTTAGTTGTACTTGATTTATTATTTATTAAGAAGCGGTTAAACTCCTGACAAACATCATATCTTATATTTCCTTCATTTTGCATTTAAAAATACATTTTTAAACTGCACACCCAAAACATCAAATATGCTAAGCACATAGCATCAGCTACACAATTAATCTCAACACCAAAACACCAGCTAATGGAACGCTTGAGTCATCTTACCCTTAAAAACTGGATAAACTTTTTGCGGGGTTCGGTAGTAGAAAATGTGAAACTCTGAGTTGTCATAAGCAATACGTCTATGTGCCAAGTTTCAGGTCGTAAGGATGGCGTGATGTGGGTCAATTAGCCATCAAAGAGATTTTTCCTAAACACACTAACCAAAACGAAGTAAAAATAAAGGATAATAAAATTCATGAAAATGCCTACTCCAACTTTATGGGCCACTGTGTGTAGGTGTTAAGGACTTACAAGGAGCAACTTAACCCCATGCGCGGTTAAAGTTCCGTTTAGTACACATTTTCAGTTAGGGTTATCCTAAAATGTATGGCTACATTTGAAAACGGTTTGAGTTATCCTGCCATTCACATATATCCATCAGTGGATTTGGATCTCGAGAAGGATTGTCGCAAGGTGTGTGAAATTCTGAACCAGATTTCACTCCCCGGTTCTGACCGTTGACTGCTACTTGTATCTACATGTTTTCTTTAGTAGGCTATTAAGTCAGTGAATCTTGAATGCATTGGAAAGGTTTCTCAATAGGATATCGTAGTGCATTCTCCTTGGAGACTGATCACCTTTGTAACTCAGTCATAGATGCAGGAGATGTTCAGGAACAATTTCTCGGATATCTAGAAGATAAATATTGCTTAGTACATTACATACAGTAATACTGGCGCAGCAAGGAGTCTAAGAAAGCAAAAAATAGTGGGGACCCAAAGCAGCCTTCCTTCAATCTGCAGTTTAATTAATAGATCCGTAGTGCGCGGCCAAAGAACAACAAACTGTTCATTAAATCTTGGAGCAGGAATGCTGTTTAGGGTCGTGGAAAAAAAAATTCAGGATAACTTTGCCAATCCAGTCTGGTTGATCATTTCATTTTTTAAAAATAAATTAAATAAGCCGTAATGTAGAATCTGATGTTTTGACACTTTTCACGTGTTTTCATTTCATTTTTAGATACATTTACTATTCAGGTAAATCTAGAAAGGTAGCAATTATATTAAAAATGATCGCAATTGAAACCAGATTAAGAACACCTGTTCTAAACACAAAAATGATGCACTCCAATTTTATATATTTCTAAAAAAAAGTAACAGATTTTTCCTCATTTAAAACCCATATTTCATTCACAGCTTTTTCATTTGAGCGGTTCTCAACCCCCATGTATCCCACCATCACTTCCCATCCTCAAGACCCAGGGCGAGTTCTGCAAAGCGTCAGTAGAATGTGTTTCTTATGTCTGCAAGAATAACGTGTGCACCTGCCCTGAAAGTACCTATTTTGACCGTTGCACCCAGTCCTGTGTCAACAGTAAGTGCCAGCGTTGTGATCCACACATTTTATTTCAAGCGTGACAGTTGGGAACTTGTGAACTGCTAACACACATTTTTTTTTAAATATTATTTTTCAATTATCTTGACATAACATGACCATTGTGACCTATTTATTTTCTGTTTCCTTTGTTTTAAATCCAGCTGTTTATTTCAGGCTGAATTCTTAGTTTTTGAATGTTTTATTTTGTTCAAAGCCCAAAAAGAAGAATATCCATTTTTTTTGTTAATCTTATTCTTAATAAAAATGTCAGTACTTTTTGAAATCTAGTTGCAAGTTTTGCTTGAATGTGTATATTCATTTTATTACCTTAATACTCAGCCAATACATGTGCATACAATTTAATATTAGTGTTATTACAGAACTTGACTCTGCTTTAATATGTGTGTATAAAAGTTAACCTGCGTGTGGTTCCAGATGTTGACCCTCATTTAATAAGTGTGCACAAAAGTTAACATAAGTGTTATTCCAGATTTTCAATGAAAAGACTTTAGTATCACACAACTTGTTTACCGTTTAGACTGTAACTCGACTGTTAAAGTTGAGACTTCAGGACACATTGTGAGATTGCCTCGGTCAAACACATCTCAACAGTCCCAGTACTGCACATGGTCACTCGAGGCGCCAGCTGGTAGCTTTATTTTGTTCAGGTCAGTTTATGTTTGTAAGCTTAGTTTAGCCTTAACTCTCTTTAAGCAGATACTTTTTGACCTATCTGTTTAAGAATTTTTTGCTATTCGTCATCATTCAGATCTAATGCTATTTGGTTCATTTGCCATTTTGCCTGTGGCCATGATGAAGAATGTAAACACTCGGTGGGTAACGTAAAAACCAATGTTCCCTAAATTGTTTTGTATAAAATTATGTGTCTTGTGTTATTTTTTGTTTGCAATTCTTACGTTTTAATATCAGTTTATCGACTATAAAAGTGTACTTGTCTCGATAGAAGTGTACTTGTCTCGATAGAAGTGTACTTGTCTCGATAGAAGTGTACTCGTCTCGATAGAAGTGTACTTGTCTCGATAGAAGTGTACTTGTCTCGATAGAAGTTCTCTTGTCTCGAGAGACGCATTATTGTCTCGATAGCAGTGTAATCGTCTAGATAGAAGCAATATTGTCTCGATAGAAGTGAATTTTTCAAAAGAAGCATAATCGTCTCGATAGAAGCTTTAGTGTCTCGTTATAAGCGCACTGGTCTCAATAGAAGTGTACTAGTCTCGATAGAAGAGTACTTGTCTCGAAAGAAGTGTAATTGTTTCGATAGACGTGTTATTGTCTCGATAGAAGTGTTATTGTCACGTTAGAAGAGTACTAGTCTCGCTTATATGTCCAACTTATCAGCTCTCATCGTCATTTGGAAACTCTACCAATTCGAATTGATTGAAACATGCGTAGATCATCCCAATCTATTTTATTTTCAGAATTGCCTATTTAGATGGTAAATCTTCTGATAATTGCTCGACCGATTTCATTGAGGTATACGATGGCCAAGAGCCACGGTATCGATTCTGCCAAAGTAATGAAACAGATCCTAAAGTGGTAGCATCTGCCAGCAATAAACTTGACATTACTTACCAAGAGAGTTCACCAGGCCACTACGGATTCATCGGATCCTACTATTTATACTGTGAGTAATAGATACTTTGTTAGAAAAAACATTTTAAAAAAATTAAAGTATTTATTAGTGGAAGCTAAAGAGTTTCCTGTCCCCATTCGTCGGAGCTACTTGTTACCAAGCTCAAGTAGATGCACAAATCATTGGATGGAACGGAAGGATAAAGTGATACGGCATTACATCGTGATACAGCATTACATCTTGATAAAGAGTCACACCTTGATACAGCATTACATCTTTTGTTGTGAAATTATGATGGTAATACTGATGGAGCTATTTTTTTTTTTTTACGCTTGCTAAGTTGGTGGAGTATTGCTCAGCAATCAAATATTTTTAAAAAATCTCACGATTATTCTGCTCTCCCTCCCTTCGACAATGAATTAACTATAAACATAACAATTGCTTGTGTAATTCATGAGCTAGCGATGCGGGGTCAGCTAAATTCTGCCAACCTAACACATATTTAAAGTTACCAGATACGGCGCCGTGTTCTAGAGGCTAAATTGTATTTCATCTCCATCATCTTGTTCCTGCACCCACGTGAATGAAATCAAACAGATTGTCTTAAAACATGCCAGCCGAAACATCATTAGTAACTTGGACTTTTACATAATAAAGTTCTTCCTTAAAAATTAGGTCTACTTAAAAAAAAAATATTTACTGATAGTTGTTTAACATTTCTATAGACAGTGAAAATAGACTGTCTCATCGTATGAAACACTATTCCTTTAATTATATTTTAATTTATTTTTTAAAAATTTTTATAAACCAGGAAAAAAAAGTGTATCATGCTATAAAAAATCATAGAGATTTAAAAATGTAACACCTATTGACAAATTGAAGTAATACGATACAAATTAATGCATCTTACTTTCAGCACACAACTCTACGACACGTGACCGGTTTGGTTACATCGCTAGTCCAAGATACCCTCAAAAGTATCCTCCCAATTATGTGGTGTCATGGACCATTGATGGAGGGGAGGAAGTCGTGACCTTTAGGTTTGATCTGCTTTTATAAGGCTTTTGCCAGACATCAATCCTCTCATTTTAAAAAGTTGATTTATTTGTTTGCAAATGCACAAGAGTGGTTTACCTAATCTACATGGTGCCCCCAACCCCCCAGCCCCCCCCCCCTTAAAAAAGGCCAACTGAAATTGTCATTATAATGACGTCATATAGTTATAATGGAACATAAGTATATTAGTAAATTTATACAGTTAACAAATTTTGATGTTATTATATTGAATTGTAAGAGGTGTCATCATTTTTTTCTGAGCCACCCTGTATAAACAACACTAAGTCGAGATTAATGCTATAATCGAGTGAAACAAACGTGAATACGGAACATATTACAACATATTCGTTATTTGGTGTTCGTGAAATGAAGAATACAAAATTGCCATTAATGATACGTTTGTCATATTCGCCTCAGTTTTAACTAATTACATGACTCGATATCATATTATGTTGTTAAGATTTTTTAAAATAGAAATTATCTGATATTGTGCAAATATTTCTTCTTAATTCAGTATACAGAAAATGGAGATGAAAGACAACGAAAATGACTTTATCACTGTTTACGATGGTCCAAACACTCGCGCATCAAACCGTGTGAGATTTGGTCGAGATAAGGGGCCCTTAAGTTTTACGTCGACATCAAACTTCCTCCACATCGTGTTTCAGTCTGACGGGTCATTTGAGTTTCCTGGCTTCTACGCCTCTTTCAAAGTCAAAGGTTTGTATACAACACAATGTCGTAATCATATAAGAAATATATAATACGTTCTGTAAGTTTACATTGTATCTGTGGAAATACTGAATCAATGCAACCATAGATTTGTTTTTGTGATTGTTCGTCCTACGCAGGTAAAGATGACCGTCGTTAGTACGCAGGTGGCCCGTCAGTTCTATGTGTGACTTAAAAGCTTTCCCGCATGTGGGACACACGTTGTTTTGGGTCCTAGTAGGATTTGAGACGATTTTTCTTTTTCTCTCCATGTAATGTCTTTGGGCGAGCTATTATTTTCCTTGACGGTGGGTCTGCCATGCCGTGGTCCATGGCAAGTGTCTTTCAAGGGTCATTTATTAAATGCATGTCTACTATACAACGACTTAACATATGTTTACATATACAAAAAAACGTTGTTCGATTGACATATGGATCCATGGAAGGCTAAGTATTAAAGCACGTGATATCACTGAATTTAAATATGTGTACTCTAGTTTTACATCGGGTCTGATACATATTTTTTTTCTTTTTTCTTTAACAATTGATGACCAAGGTTGTTATAATTAGCCATTAGACAGAAATAAAAAAAGTCGTATGCATATCAGTTTTCCTTATGTAATTCAACCACTTCAAATATCGTCATATTGCCCACAGTGTTTAATATGTTTCCATGCTGACAGCTGAGTTTAAACAATTCAGAACTATACAAAACAACTTGATATCACTTTGTTGTGCCAACATTCCGGCATACGTTTTGTATAAAGCTACTTAGAAAGTTGCATTTGGAGGGATATTCGTGTCTCAAGCAGAAGCTTTTGGTGGACCCCCTGCTCCAAGAGAATTAACCTGCAGAATATCCATTAATTTTAGGGAGGGCACATGCTGCTTGGCAGCCACCCACGTGATGTTTTGCCTTCGTTTTGTTCCAGCCTGCTACCTCAAGAACCACAAAAGTTTAAATTACTTTAATTTAGATGCTGCATAGCAACGGGTGGATTTCCTACTCCGGATCACTGTGACCTCCCACGCCACCCCTGGGGTCGACCTGATCCTCTGGTTTTGTCGACGAAGATAGTGAGATCTTCATTGCCACATTCTGTTTCGGTTTCCTCAGAGCTGTCGACCACTAGATCTTAGCAGTGCTTAGTCCTAAGATGGTACTGGTCACTCCTGACCCCTCCATCAACAGCACATTAGAAGTGCTGGATAGTGACGTTGTCGATACTGCTCCGTAGCAGAATCACCTTCAATGGGGGATGGCTTTGTGGGCATCGATAACTCCTATGATCCTTAAGTGGAAGCTGTAATCATATGCCATAATCCTTGCCCCTAATCATCTTTGCCCCACTCATTTCACGACAATATCAGTGTGATAAGGTGTCTACAGGTCAGTTGCACACCTGGGCTTCATAGTCACCCACCCAACATGGCAAGTGGAGGGTTCGTTTTGCATGAGTTGGTGGCTTCCATTCTTGGCAGACCACTGCTTTGGCTCTATAATTATCTGCCATTCAGTCTCCAATCGATGCAATTCTTCTAGCAACGTGTTAAACGTTATCAATGTTGTGCTGTTGTTGTTGTTGTGCTGTTGTTTTTGCTGTTTTGTTGTTTTGATATCTAATTGATTTCGTGCATTTTTTTTTAAAAATACGTTCATGTTTATTGACTCCAGGCCGTGCTGAAGGCAAGAGCTGTAATGTGACTCATGTTTGCCTGGAAAATATGTCTTGTATCAATGGCCACTGCAGCTGTGGGCAAGGGCAGTTTTATAACACTTCGTCCAGTCTTTGTATCCCAGGTAATATGTCAGTTTCTTTGTAGGCCACCATATACATAAAAGGTTTAAAATATTTGTTTTTTTATAAATTTAGTTTTTATCTGGATGGGGATAGACGTATGTTGTTGTCTTGGTAGAGAAAAAAACCCACAAAACTTTTGTTTAAAACAGTGGTTCTCAAAGGACCCCCATACGTCAAGGTCATTCGACCCCCCAAAAGAGGGCGACCCACAGTTTGAGAACCACTTGTTTAGAAGATGCTAAGATTTTTAGTCCTCAAATTACATAATTCGTGCATTTTTTCAGTCTATTTATACTTTGTTTAGTGACACCTTGCACGATCTAAAAGCTTTTGAATTCGAACTTAGACCGTCACTTATACTTTTGACGGAGGCAAAAAGTCAAATTGGTATAAGTACATGTCTGTGTAGGGACTGAGTCCTCTTGGAAGACATGTGTAGCGTTACAAGACAATGCAAATCAAAAAGTAATGGAAGAATTGGAATGCCATGAAAAAAAAAAGATTTCAAAAATTAGTATTTTACCTTTAATTAGTAATTAGTTAGATACTTAATTGTATTTTTTTCTTTTCGAAACATCGCTAAAACTTTTTCTTTTTTATGTTTCTTCCGACCATCGTTAAATTTGCCCTATCAGAATACAATTAACATAAATTTCATCAATGTTTGTACCTGTCCGTTTGTTAAAATTTAGTCAAAGCAAAGTAGAGTAAATAATAACTGCGCTTTCTGTATGTGTATCTGTGTGCGTGTATGTGTGTGTGTGTATGTGTGCTGTGGATAAAATGATTTGGTTAATATGTATTAAAAAATACAACTTCATCTCTGTATTGTAAAAAGCATTTTCATTTTTTTCCTCATTATGTCTATGTTCATTGCTCGGTTTTATTTCTCTCTCTCTCTCTCTCTATTTCTCTCTGTTTCTTTCTTTCTCTCATCTCTCCTTCTCATACCCACACTCTCTATCTCCCCGTGACTAGTGATTAAACCCATGAATCAGCTCAACGTTGCGCTCGTTCATATTTTCAAGTATTGGCGTCATTGTAATTGAGAAAAATAACTTTAAAGTTTTATACCATTTATCTTTGAACCGTTCATTCAAGAAATAATGGGCCATTAAAACGGTTTGTCACAAAACTTGCGAAAACGATTTTCCTTTAAAGAAGATAGAAAAATGAGATGTCTAGAGCATTCCTTTTTGAGTGGCAATATAAAACCATAAACTGGTAAGCTAATGTTTTAAATTTTCTTCGTGAAACGATTTTTGTTTGTTCAAAACTAAGAGATTAATCATATCATAATCTGTTTGAGTAAAAATGTATATATATATATATTTAACACATGAAATTTAAAAAAAAGAAGCTAACATTGAATTTTTAAACTTTATTTTTGAAAGGGTAATAATGCTATCATTGTGTATAATTTAATGTATTATAGAATTTAATATTATTTTTCAGATATATTTAAGACAAAAGGAATGGCCATTAATGGCTGGATTTCATTTGTGCGTAAAAGAATTATGGCGAAAACTAAATGCCATTTAGCAATGCCTATGGGAAAACAGCTCTATCTCCTCGAAATGGTGCCCATTGTTTCTATTTGAATAGTTTGACAAATTGGTAGGTTGCACAACAAAATGATAATGTCTTTTTGTTGGTTTTTTTTTGTTTAATGAGCGCCTGACACTAATTATCTAGTAATTTATTTGATTATTACTTTGTAAAAATTATAACTGATATACCTAAAATAAAATGAAATTAGCCTTTTTACTAATAAATCGTTATTTAATACATATTTATTAATCTTAGACTACTGCTTAATTTCTTATCACCTACATAAAATTAAATGTCACAAATTCAAATCGTACTGATGTTTCAGCTGCGTTTGATGTCATTGGTCTGAAACCTGTCTAACATGTCAAAATTCAGGTATGTACTTGTAACGACATTTCTAATCAATGAAGACTATCAAGAAGCAGTCTAAAAAAATGAGAAATATAGCAGCATCTTTAAATTTCAGAACTATTATATAGTACTTAAGCTGAAGCAAACTGAAAGATTTAACAAATATTTACGTTTACTTTTTGACATTTCATTACATTTACGACATATCTTTCTGGAATTTTAGCACAACGTAAAGGATGGATCACGGAAATGCTTTAGGTAAGCAGGATGGCAGTATATAATAAACGTATTTCAAAACTTTATATATTTACTAATTAAAAATAGGTTTCAAAGATTTTTTTCTCTCAAATAAGTCTTTTTAAATATGTGAAGTCGGTTGTAAAATATTTTGTAAATAAGAATTCTGAATTTTGAAAGAAAAACATATTTTTGTCTAAGAAGAATTATTTTTTCTACATCAGATAGGGAGTGAGTTACATTGTATTTAAGAAGAATATTCGTCTTTCAATAACAAATCATGTGCTTTTACATAATTTGTATTTTGTGCTGAAGAATAAAATTTAGCCGACATGTACTTTCAATTGTTAGTTTTTTTAGACCTATCCATAATCTTTTTACACAATTATTTTTGTCTAAACAATATTAGAACTAGGATTGTTATTATTTTACTTTATATATACATGATTGATAATTTGTCTTATTTTATGTGCTCTTGTTTCTTCAATTTTTTTGTTAATTTCTTTACTTTCGCTTGCTTTTTACAGATAATTTTTACTGAATAATCTAGTTGCTCTTAATTTTATAATACATAATTAGGTTGAACGTTTGACGGTTGTCTCTCAATTATTTTGATATAAGATAATTTATCGATTTTCATCGCACAAAACACTTGAAATATTATTTGTTTACCTTAGCTTTCTTTAATGCTTGGGCGTAACTAGGATTACTGCCACCCTGGGAGGAGCATCCACTCCATGACAAAAAAAGTCAGGAATTTGGCCATTTGGCCCAAAAAAAGCGCCCATCCAATTGAGAAAAAAAAAGTACCGACGGTGGGGAAAGGGTTCACCCACTCCATCCCATCCATTATTACTCATTGTGTAATTAATTACATTGCAATTATTTTATCAAGTCCTTTGAATATAAAGTGCAGAAAGCTGGGGTTGTTTTATTAATATTTTTGGGAGGTTGGGAATTAAAAGATATAAATGTCTAAGACTCTTTACACATATTTCGATATGTGTGCATATTATAAATATCTAACATGTATGTGGTATTAAACAAACTATTAATTATAATATTATTCTGTCAATGATGATTATGAGGAAGATTATGGGTGATATTGGCAACTGACTCTCCATAAAAAGATATACATTGTCATTATCTCTACTTCTTTTTCTTTCTCTCTCTCTCTCTCTCTCTCTCTCTCTCTCTCTCTCTCAACCCTCTCTCACACACACACAATTATATGTTTGATTTAGATTTATATTTATTTATATTTGCATGCGTATTTATATGCTATATAAATGTATGTGTATGTTTTTATTTTGATTGGAATTTTGATATGTTTCTATTTATCTTGATTATCTTGATGTAAGTGTAGCAATTAGGTTTAGTAGTATTATTTCATTGTTGGTCTTAGTTCAATATTGCCAAAATGTGTGAAAGTTTAATTTTACAACATTTTATTACATGTATAAGTATAGGAATTTTTTACAACAGTAATAAATGGTGGCCATGGAATTATTTCAGCAATGTAAGATGACTTTGTTTAACTTTTTAAAAAAAAAAGCTTTAAATTCTTTAAAATGTATTTTAGAGAAAATATTGTTTTGAATTTCTGCATGATTTCAATTTCATTAGATTTGAATTTTACAAAAAAGGTTAAATCGATAGGGAAATGTTTCTTAGTTAAATCTTTGAAAGTTAACGTATGTAAATATTAAATATATTTGGTTACCTAAGAGTTCAACCACAAAAACTGTAATAGTCTACCCATATAATGTGTTGCTTGGACTATATATACATTTTATACCACTAAAATAACTACGATACTAAAGCATCTATAACATTTAAAAAATACACCACAAAAACAACTACAACACTAAAACAACTACAATACTAAAGTAACTATAACACAAAAAAAAAAAAAATTACACAACTATAGCAACTGAAACACTATAGCAATGACAACGATAAAACAACTACAACACTATATCAACCACAACACAAAACCACTACAACGCTAAAACAGCTACATTAATAAATTAACAATAACACTAAATCAATAACACAACTATTCAAAATAAAATGGTACAGCATCTACAACACTAAAACATCTTCAACACTAAAAAAACTACAACACTAATACAATTACAACACTATAGCAACGAAAACACTAAACAAAAACAACACTATAGCTACTAAAACTCTAAAACAACTACAAAACTATAGCAACTACAACACTGAAACTACTTCAACACTCTAAGAACAACAACACTAAAACAACTACAACACAAAAATAACTACAACACTAACACAATTACAACACTATTGCTACGAAAACACTAAACAACAACACTATAGGAGCTACAGCACTAAAAACACAACAACACTATAGCAACTACAACACTAAAAACACAACAACACTATAGCAACTACAACACTAAAAACACTACAACACTATAGCAACTACAACACTAAAAACACTACAACACTATAGCAACTACAACACTAAAAACACAACAACACTATAGCAACTACAACACTAAAAACACTACAACACTATAGCAACTACAACACTAAAAACACAACAACACTATAGCAACTACAACACTAAAGCACTACAACACTATAGCAACTACAACACTAAAAACACAACAACACTATAGCAAATACAACACTAAAAACACTACAACACTATAGCAACTACAACACTAAAAACACTACAACACTATAGCAACTGAAACACTAAAAACACTACAACACTATAGCAACTACAACACTAAAAACACTACAACACTATAGCAACTACAACACTAAAAACACTACAACACTATAGCAACTACAACACTAAAAACACTACAACACTATAGCAACTACAACACTAAAAACACTACA